ACTGATCGAGTGACCCCTCATTTTGAAGGTCTTTGTAAAAGAAAACCAACAACGCAAATTAGAGGTCTATACCTCAATCCAGTAAAAAATGGCAGCCAATTGAAATTCTCTCTTGGTGTACATCCCCAAAATGGGGGATTTTGGAGGAAACTCAAAAATTTCAAATGAAAAGCCCCATTGAGTGACCCCTCATTTTGAAGGTCATAATAAAAGAAAACTAATAACGTAAACTAGAGGTTTCTATCTTAACACAGTAAAATATGGCAGCCAATTGAATATAAAATTGAAAGTATTTCTGATTTCTAAAGATTTCAATCAGCTACCATTTTTTACTGGATTGAGATAGAAACCTCTAGTTTGTGTTGTTAGTTTTCTTTTACCAGGTCCTTCAAAATGAGGGGTCACTCGATGGGGCTTAACTTTTAAAATTTTTGAGTTTCCACCAAAATCCCCCATTTTGGGTTTGGGAACCAAGTGGATATTAGGCTTAAGAGTCTTCCGTAGTGGAAGCCATGTTATATTTCTTCCCCATAAGAACAATGTTAGAATTGCATCATTTGTGGACACGTAACGGCGTTATTTGTTAAGATATAGCTTTGAAATTTATAATTTGTATTTTTAACATAATATACTCGTGACTGAGGTTTTTGAATTTCGAAAATCCATTTTCATTTCCTTTCAATAATTAGCTCTATTTTAAGCTAATTAATAATCAATTATTCATTATAAAAATTAAAAATTGTGAAATAAAAAACGTCAATCTCTAGAGGACAGCAAATCCTTAAATTTAACTCCTTATCCATATAATTATATGACAATTTGCTGATGAGATATTTGGACCCAAAGTTAACATTGTTCTTATGGGGAAGAAATCCAACATGGCTTCCACTACGGAAGACTCTTAAAAAGTACTTCATAACATGCCAAAAAGGTGTGTAGAGTTTAGTTTTCCTAGTGTGAGCCATTACAAAATTTACAGGGGGTCTCCAGACTTGGAAAGCTGTAAGTTAAATTTAACTTCTGATAATTTCAATTGGCTTATATTTACTCTCACCGCTTACACATGATAAAGGTTGTTGACAAACTTATGGGAGAAAGTATGTGTCAGAATGCTGTTACCGTTTATTTTGCATTTATGAAAACATTGAAAACAGCTAATTTCAACTGTGATACGCAATGAGAACTGTCAAAGTAAGATTGTTTATAGTTATGTTTATGTTTTTAATTTCATGAATAATCTGTGATATTTTGAGAATTTTCAATGATTTATTTTTCTCTATTGTTTAGGTGAAGTGGTAGAACATTATAGCTATGGTAGATGTGTAATACTATAGTATACCGTAAATAGAAGCAAATTTTATTAAACTGTGTCCTCCCCCATTGCAAACGCAAAGCTTGAGTAAATCTGCAATGAGCATAATATACTTATATGCCAACCCCGTACGAAGGACGGGTACTGTGCTAGTATTATTATATATTATACATTATATTATATTACATTATTATTATATACATTATATATTATATACATTATTATTATTCTAAAAATAATGCAGTAGGCGGCTACGATGATAAACCATTATTTTTAAAATTCAGTTGACCATTATGTTGGATTAAGTGATTAAGTATACTACTTGCTTGTGTCATTAGGAAGGAAAACCAACCATTCGTCATTAAAATAGACTCAGTGCCTGGAAAAAGCTATGATGCTGTAGTCTGTATTTAACATTTTGCGCCTTAATTTTTTCCTCCTTGGTGTTTTTCTTGAATCTTGAACTTGGATAATGAATTGATGATCAAGATATTGGGTTTGAGAGGTTATACGATAACGTTTTAGAAATTAAGAAGTAAGTAAATAAACAAATTGTTTGTAATATAATTCATCAAGGTATAAGTGATTCAGTAAAACTTTAATATGTTACTAAATCTCCATTTCAGTTGGTTTTTATATAAAAACAAAGCTGTTTTCCTCATTTCGTGTCTGGTTTGGAAGTTGCTTTTACTCATACAGTACTAACCTATTTGTACTTCAACGTAATAAATTTACTTTAATTATTGCTGTACGCGGTGGAATTTTATGAATGTGATAAAAATATTCGAAATTGTGCATGAGACTGAACAATGGATAGTACTTAGGTCTAGCTATTAGGGTACATTAGAAGAAGTGATGCAAATATTCTTAACTAGGCTATTGTTATGTACTCTCTGACTCTCGAATGGCATAGATGATCTAGGCCTAGGGTAAACCCATATGATAACATTATTCGGGTACTGTTTCTTCACTGGGCTATGCCCAGTATCTATTGAAACTATTGATTCGATCAGTAAACCTTTATTTGATTTTTTCATTATAGCTTAATCAAGTTTGGTTAGTTAGGTTAGGTTATGACAGTTTAGTTTTATAATTACTATAAAAATATTGATACTATCAATTTGATAGTTTCAATTGATATTAGCATAACCAGATGACATATTACTAGGCCTAATAACAATAAATATATTCATCCACTGCAATGCAGTAGGCTACGATGATGAACCATTATTTTATAAATTCAGTAACCATTAACTTAGGGTGGGGATAGGTACCGTACTTGCTTGTGTTATTAGGAAGGAAAACCAACAATTCGTCATTAAATATAGACTCAGTTCCTGGAAAAAAGGCTATGATGCTGTAAGTAACTTAACTTGGTCTGTATTTAAAATTTTGCGCCTTAATTTTTTCCTCCTTGGTGTTTTTCTTGAATCTTGAACTTGGATAATGAATTGATGATCAAGATATTGGGTTTGAGAGGTTATACGATAACGTTTTAGAAATTAAGAAGTAAGTAAATAAACAAATTGTTTGTAATATAATTCATCAAGGTATAAGTGATTCAGTAAAACTTTAATATGTTACTAAATCTCCATTTCAGTTGGTTTTTATAGCCTATAAAAACAAAGCTGTTTTCCTCATTTCGTGTCTGGTTTGGAAGTTGCTTTTACTCATACAGTACTAACCTATTTGTACTTCAACGTAATAAATTTACTTTAATTATTGCTGTACGCGGTGGAATTTTATGAATGTGATAAAAATATTCGAAATTGTGCATGAGACTGAACAATGGATAGTACTTAGGTCTAGCTATTAGGGTACATTAGAAGAAGTGATGCAAATATTCTTAACTAGGCTATTGTTATGTACTCTCTGACTCTCGAATGGCATAGATGATCTAGGCCTAGGGTAAACCCATATGATAACATTATTCGGGTACTGTTTCTTCACTGGGCTATGCCCAGTATCTATTGAAACTATTGATTCGATCAGTAAACCTTTATTTGATTTTTTCATTATAGCTTAATCAAGTTTGGTTAGTTAGGTTAGGTTATGACAGTTTAGTTTTATAATTACTATAAAAATATTGATACTATCAATTTGATAGTTTCAATTGATATTAGCATAACCAGATGACATATTACTAGGCCTAATAACAATAAATATATTCATCCACTGCAATGCAGTAGGCTACGATGATGAACCATTATTTTATAAATTCAGTAACCATTAACTTAGGGTGGGGATAGGTACCGTACTTGCTTGTGTTATTAGGAAGGAAAACCAACAATTCGTCATTAAATATAGACTCAGTTCCTGGAAAAAAGGCTATGATGCTGTAAGTAACTTAACTTGGTCTGTATTTAAAATTTTGCGCCTTAATTTTTTCTTTTTGGCGTTTTTCTTGAATCTTGAACTTAAGTTAGTTAATGATCATGATATTGGGTTTGAGAAGTTTCTTAACTGGCCTATGCTAATATCTATTGAAACTATCGATTCGATTGTTAAACCTTTATATAGGCTATGATTTTTTTATTATCATCAAGTTTGGTTGGTTTTATTTATCGTGGATAAATAAATGTGTTTCAGCTAACTTAATGTGTTTCAATTTTACTTCGTTAATATCGATAGGCCTAGCCTATATCGGATTGAAAAATAACATAGCCTATTAATAACTTAGGCCTATATGAAAAAGAAATCTTCGATAATACAGTAATGAATGTTCAGAACAGGAAAGTAGGCTACCTATCCTTTTAAGGGGTACAGTTTGGTAGAGAACATGCTTTATATTATCGGATCAATATAGAGCATAGGCTATAAACTTAACTTGTGTCGATGATAATTTGGTTCAATAATAATAGGCTATTGCATTGAATTTAATATCACAATATAGGCCTATCATATAATAAATAAAAGCAGTTATTTAAGTTAAGTTGTTGAAATTTTATTCTTATTTTTCAATTTGAAATGGTAGGCCTAACTTAATTGTTCCATCGGCAACTAATAAATTAACGTACCTATACTAGATGTGTAATAAGGAAACCGCAACAATAGGCCTAAGGAATGCCATGCTTGGTAACAATATTTTCTCTAGCCCTAAGGCATACTGCAGAAGTATGTCATAAGGCCTATTGAACCCCCCTACTGAATATTTAATTTACGTTTCCTCCAGACAGTTTTTGCACAGTTGAAATAGTGGGTGAAATACACAATGAAATCACAATATCAAAAATGCTTGCATCTTGCATCTGGTCAATGAAACAAACTATTAATACATTCTGTACATTCACAGTCTAAATTCTTAGGCTATTGTAAATTGGTGAAATCCGTTGGCAATAAATAAATACTAAAGTCCCTATTGGACACTGTCATTGCTGAACATAACATTCTTGCCAATCTGTCTCTAGAATTGTTTTCAGAAACGTTTATTTAGGCTAGCCGAATTGATTCGATCTCTGAAGGACGGATAAGTTGTGATTATAACACACACATGTAACACACACACATACATGTACATGTAAGTGTACCATAAAAATACTCATTGTCGGCTACAAACGACTGTCCTGTTTAGTAGCCTGCAGCAATAACTGCGATTGAACGTGATTTACAGTGTGTTGGTCCATCCAACTAAAACTATTTGAAGAGTCCCTTTCTTGGGTGTCTTTTGTGATCAATAATGGTTTTGCAGGATGAGAAAATGCCATCGGGAGTGGAACGATCCAACGGGAGACTAATAAACATCGCTCCTGTCTCCGAGAGGCAGCAGCTTGCTTTGCTCAAGCAGATGACTTCTCCCAAGTCTGGTATGATTATGAAAACATAATTTTTGTCATAAAACCCTATTTTTGACTAAAAATTAACCAAAAAAATACCGTGTTTACATTTTTTGTGTGTATCATATTACAACAACTCAGATCATTTCGAGACCTGTTCAGCATTTTTTTTTTATTTTATAGGCCTAACCCCCAAATTCAGGAAAAATTAATAATTTTACTCCTTTTCCCATCTTTACTTAAATTTCCTGCAATTATTCGCCAAATGTACTGGTAATACGAAATAAAGGTTTAAGGACAACATTAAACCCCATTTTAACCCACTTATTTTCCCCTTTATCCTCATTTTTGTCAAATACCGTATTCACTGCATAGGCTATTTTATAACATGGGACTTGCCAATTTAAGTTGTCTCTATTAAGAAAAACTCGCACCTAACAAGCTAACATTTAGAGCGATTAATAGTATTGTTATCATACTGTTAATATGTTATTTTTTTAATGTACTAATTTACAATACCGGTAATTACTACAATAATAAATAAATATATTTTTTCCCTATTACCATGTAAATAAGTAAAATAACCAGTTAGGCTAATATATTAAGATCTATTTTGTTGCTTAGGGTGAAATGATATCAACACTTTTTTAAATAGTCGGCTTAGTTATTTTATAAATTGAAACAGATTAAAACCTGCATTTATCATGTTTAGTCCACTTGATAATTTTAATCTCTAAATCATTCATTTTGTTTGATAGCTAGTGAAATAGCAAATTAATTATTGATCAGTTTACATTGTATTGCAACTTTTAAATTACAACTTAGGTTTTTTTAGGCCATTGTATTAAAATTACTCAATAGGTGTATTCTACTTTTTTTGCTACAATGAAACCACAGTATTTTATAGTAGCCTTAACCAAAAATAAAATGCTGAATAAACGTAATAATCATTAAATAAAGATATAAGTTAGCACTTAAGTTAGACGAGCATTATTACCCAATCGTAAATATGCTGCATCAGAGAATGCTGAGCTAAGGCATTCCTTGTGTTGCTTATCTGGTGGATCTGTTTAGTAGGCCAGCTGATTAAGAAGTAAAGCATCATGAAACAAGGTATTTATTTGTATACACGTTAAACTAAAAGTTTACACTCATTTACCATCTGTTTTCTATATTTCAGAATCAATTGTTTCATAATCCTAGTTTCATATGCATTGAACTATTAGTGGGAAGTTTTGATATTCTATTATTTTGGATAAAAATGATGATATTTGCAGATATCATTTTAAAACACTATGTAGTATAATTTTTTATGGTTAAATTTAAAACCTGATCCTGACATATTTATGTATACGTACCTTGTTTCCTCTGAAATCTTGCTATATCAAAACTTTATTGGATAACAACATTTTCAATAAAACAACTATTAGGCTTACAAAAGGCCCACAATTCCTTGAATATTGATATTTACGTAATCAATATAATCATGCAATATTTTACTTATAAACTCATTAGCAAAATGACCATCAAAAAGTGATTTCAGATTATGTAATAAGCCTATAAAAGATTTTAGCTCGAAAAATAATTTAACGAAATAGGACTACTAGTTTAGGTACAGTAGAATAGTAAAACAATTTCAACAATTAGTAACAGACCATTTGTGGCAATAAAGTAGCAAGTTTAAATTACAGTAGAACCCCGGTTAACCGAAACAGTTCCATAAATTAATACAGGGCTAAAATATAAGTACAATAAGAAATATGAAAACAGAGAGGCCCTTTCCCATTGTAACATTTTTGTAGCTGAAATAAAACACTGTATTATACAGACATTGTTTTAAATTCATTTTTCCTACGCACTGTTGTCTATTTTTAGCATTTGATGGGTTAACTAAAAAATTGGTTATCCAAAACGGTTCTCCCCTTTATTTCGGTTAACTGGGATTCTACTGTTCTTTAAAAAAAAAATTATAGAAAAGATTTTTGAATTATTTTGCCATCCGTAATGTTTTGTAATCACCGCTTGAATCGTCTACTTCCTCCCACTATTATATCTATATGGTTTACAAAGGTTGTCCATGGATTGAGAGCCCATCAAGACTAATTGAGCTTGGTAAAATCTGACCAAGTTTTTCACTTCCTCAGAACTATTCTAGGTAATCCATACAACTTTTCAATACTTAGCTAGTTGTTGTAGTAGCTGTTGACTATGAAAGGGAAAATCGATACTCCTACTAAGATTGAGTTGTGTTATCCTTTTCATAAGCTACCTTGTAAAGACTAAGATTTGCATAGAGGTAGGAGCCAGGTACAATAAATCTAAAGGAACGAGCACCGCAACAAGCATAGGGAGACGGAGCAAATGTGCAAACTGCTGGAAGTGTTAACATGAATATATAAATTGTTACAGAGCATGGGTTGAAGATGAGTTCTCGTGGTCGTCACCGTAACGAGCGTGGTGAGACTCCTCTGCACATTGCTGCCATCAAGGGAGACAGGGAGCAGGTACGCCAACTGCTGGAACTGTTAACATAAATATGTAACCTGTTACAGAGCATGGGTTGAAGATGAGTTCTCGTGGTCTGTAACGAGCGTGGGGAGACTCCTCTGCACATTGCTGCCATCAAGGGAGACAGGGAGCAGGTACGCCAACTGCTGGAACTGTTAACATAAATATGTAACCTGTTACAGAGCATGGGTTGAAGATGAGTTCTCGTGGTTGTCACCGTAACGAGCGTGGGGAGACTCCTCTGCACATTGCTGCCATCAAGGGAGACAGGGAGCAGGTACGCCAACTGCTGGAACTGTTAACATAAATATGTAAACTGTTACAGAGCATGGGTTGAAGATGAGTTCTCGTGGTTGTCACCGTAACGAGCGTGGGGAAACTCCTCTGAACATAGCTGCCATCAAGGGAGACAGGGAGCAGGTACGCCAACTGCTGGAACTGTTAACATAAATATGTAAACTGTTACAGAGCATGGGTTGAAGATGAGTTCTCGTGGTCGTCACCGTAACGAGCGTGGGGAGACTCCTCTGCACATTGCTGCCATCAAGGGGGACAGGGAGCAGGTACGCCAACTGCTGGAACTGTTAACATAAATATGTAAACTGTTACAGAGCATGGGTTGAAGATGAGTTCTCGTGGTCGTCACCGTAACGAGCGTGGGGAGACTCCTCTGAACATAGCTGCCATCAAGGGAGACAGGGAGCAGGTGTGCCAACTGCTGGAACTAACTTGAATATATAAACTGTTACAGAGCATGGGTTGAAGATGAGTTCTCGTGGTCGTCACCGTAACGAGTGTGGGGAGACTCCTCTGCACATTGCTGCCATCAAGGGAGACAGGGAGCAGGTGTGCCAACTGCTGGAACTAACTTGAATATATAAACTGTTACAGAGCATGGGTTGAAGATGAGTTCTCGTGGTCGTCACCGTAACGAGCGTGGGGAGACTCCTCTGCACATTGCTGCCATCAAGGGAGACAGGGAGCAGGTACGCCAACTGCTGGAACGTGGCTCTGACCCCAACGTGCGCGACTTTGCTGGTGAGTTATCAATAACTTTTTTATATTTTAGAAAATTGAAAAAGGATTTTAATATCAGCCCTTTTTGTCAGAGGATCATTCAACTAGGTTCTATTTGAATAAATAATCGGCTACAGCTGGTCTAAGGATGTCTACTTAGACACTCTTCTTGTGTGACATTACTCTTGTGTGTTGTTGTTAGTACAAAAACGGTAATGGCTACCTACCACCAAGTGTTTATGTTAGGACCTCTCGGCTAGAGATTTAACTGGAGGTAGCACTAAATGAGAGAATTCCAAGACGTTGGCTCTAATTTGTAATAGGGGATGAAGTACATAACTTAGTATATTTGAACTGAGGAATTATGGGATTGTACATTCATAATGCCATGAGCCAATGAGCTGATTCCCTTGGTACCAACCTAACAAATTTACAGTGTCTCGATTTTATAGGTTGCTGTGTCAGTGCTGAACTCTATGCTTTTTGTGTGTAGTGGCTGAGTATTTTTGGTTCGGTATAGCAACATATGTTTCTCAATGCTTATAAAACGGTAGTGTTAACCAATATCTATTTGTATGAGTCCGGGAACCAGCCTAATTTAATTTGGGGAGAAGGGTTTTGTACTCAACATATGGATAAGCCTAGATAGGGATAGTTGCTCTTAAATAGTTCTGGTCACTAACCTTAAAATAATATCAATCCCCTAGAAATTTTAAAAACATTTCCCCCCTATTATTTGTTTGAACAGTTATTTAATGAAATAAATAAATCTGTATATAGTAGCCTAAATTTTTAAGAATTTTATGGTGAATTCCTTCTCTATTACCGTACAGGCCTACTTTTTCTATTTATCTGTTTTGTTTTCCATCCATAATTAACAACTCACAAGAACTTGACTGTGTGAAACATCGTAATTTGGTGAGCAACGACGTGTTTGTATTGAGAAGTCGGCATGAAAGCTGCATAAGAAAACCTAGGCCTGCAAACATGATTTTAAAATATTTACTATGTTAGCAATGACAATGGATACAAACAAAAAACTCCAAAATAAAAACAAAAATATCTCTATTGTGGAAAAAGGAAAGTTGTAAAGTGCCATGAATTCAAATTTTTAAGCCAAGGTAGCGTTAAAATGATGAAAATATAAGATTTATGAAGCGTATCTGAATCTTGATTTGAATGCAGTACAACTGGTAGAAGACTCACTTGGCAAGAGTGAATTTACATCATATAGCCTACACCAAGACTCAAATGCTATTGTTTTCTCTATGTTAAACACATTATGACAATGGATTTATGTTATAATTACTGTATTGGTATGCTCTCATTATACCTATCTCTTTCGCCTATACATATTACACCACAATATTTTTGTTGAATCATAAACAACTTAAAAGGCACAAGCTGTTGTTATGAACATTTTAAAAAGGATGCAATACAATATAAGAAATGTTTTATCATAACCAATGCAGATGTTTACAACCAATATTTTTTGTAATATTTTTATGCATGCATATTGTTGCCATTGAGGTTTTGTATGTGTTTATTTTTTAATATAAGGCCGTCCTAGTTCCCACTTGCAGCTGTTTAGCTGTCAATGTTGTTTGACTCTTTTAGGCACTACGTTTCGTTGTTGAATTTGCCGTAAGAAAAATATCTGCAAATTACTCTTGTGAGTTCAGTTGGTGACAAAAACGGTAGTTGTATCTGTCAACGGTAGCCATCAAACTCGGTAGCTGCTCAGTGAAGCAAGATACAGAGGATAGGCTTATGGGACAAACGTGCGCTTTTCGCTCTGGTATACTTTAAAACTTGTATTGAGCCAGGAATAACCTAAACGGCGACCACATAGCATTTGTGCACAGCAGTTGTAGCGCATAGCGTGAGTAGTACATGATGGAGAGGGGAGAACGGAGAGCGGACAGAAATGACAAATAGAATTTGCTATAGACACCAGCGACTGGTGCCTGACATCACTTTAGTTACAATTGAATGTGTCCTCTGTATCTCACTTCTCTGTCGTGTGGTAGCTATTTAAACCCCATCCATTTTGGCAGCTGGGAAAACCCACCATAAGTTTATTAGTGGTCTGGGTCAGGCCAAATGTGTTATGCACTTATGTTGCTAAAGTGACGTTTTGCTATAGTTTGTGGAATTTAACCTAAGTTATCTAATTGTAAACTTTGACAAACAGTTTTTTTGGTTTTTTTTATATAGACTCAATTTGGAAATGAAAATGTGAAATTGCTTTTTAAGCTTCGCTTTCACATGCAAACTACTGGATTAATAACTAAAACTATAAACATGGATAACCTATGTACTTAGGAGTAACTTACAACCATCAGTGTATTTGTATGTACACGATATTACTGCACAAGAGGTTAAATTACCTTTTTGCCTATGGACTCCTTGGTTGTCTGAATAGCGACTGGTTTCCACACTCTTGGTGTTGATACTAGGAGGTCTTTCTAAAATCTTCAAACCCATAAGCAAAACACGAATGTAGACAAACATTTTTATGAAAAAACTCTGCATAGCCATGCAACTAATGATCTGGGCTTCAGGCTCTGAGTGTCATTGGCTTCATGGTAATTCCATCTCTTGTATCAGTAGGCCTATGCAGCAGACAACACCTCTAAAAATAAAATAATTTACTGTTGTTAGTGTATTAGTTTGATCATGCTTCTTCTCAGGCAATAACTAAAACAATTTTTTTGACACTCATTAAAGTATATAAACGCGAGTGACCCCTCGATCAAAATCTTGTCACACTTTTTTAACCTCTAAAAAAGTCCCAACCATCGATTTTCTTGAATTACCCACAATGATCAAAAGTCTACAGTTTGAACCCGTCAGTACGGTGTCCCTCGAGGATAGGGTAATTAGTTTTTTGCTGCCGTGGTCATAGCAGTTGAACATGTTGTTGTGTTTCAGGGAGGCGTATCGTTGGTTGCCATCGCCCGAACATGGTGACGTTTGTCATTATTTGTTTTGTTCTCTGTTGTACAGCTTTAACTATTTCCCTCCGACTTTTGTAATGTCATGTGCCGCTTTGGGTGTTTCTCGTTTATTTGTTATTAACTATGCTATTTATTATTCTTCTCTTCACCTCAGGTAATATTGTCGCTAACTGTTTAATGTTTGGTGGTGGATTTGTCGTTAATTGTTAACTCGCTTTGGGTGTTGTTCGTTTAACGCTGATGCTCTGTTGTATATATTTCACTGTTTTGATGTTTTATATTGATTATTTTTTATTACTGTGTTGTGAACCAAAGATAATCACTAAAAATTGGATAAGGAGAAAATTGATATTCAGCCATACATTGGCCAGGAACTTACTTAATATGTTAAATAAATAACAATATTTTGACTACAAGCCTTTGATGATATGTTTCACAGCCATAGTGATTACTTTACAGACTGTTTTTGTATCTTATAAAGGCCCGGATTTATGGTTAAGTTTGCAAAAAAACTTTGGCATATTTACAAGGTGCTCTTAAACTAGGTCTATGTAATTGATTCAGTAACTTACTTTGTGAAAAAGATGACAGAAAATGCCTGGAGAAGACCTATCTACTGTGTACTCTAGCTGGCTGGGAGATTCAATAAAGTAAAATTTTTCTGTTTGGGACTGAACGACTGCCTTTGCAAAGCCACTGGCTAGTATTTTGGTTGTCTGGTAGTGCCCGGTTATAAATGTCTGATTCTGATAGTATAGTAGCACTGAGTCTAATTGGAAATAGTCTATGTTGTGTATAAATATTGAAGCTATCAATTTCTGTTTGCTACCAGGGTCTCTTGCATGGTCATAATTAACTCCAACGCAGCCCATGTGGGACTTAAGTAAAGATTATCATGGGTTCCCGAGAAATCCAGACTACCAGGTTTGCAGAAACAGTGTTTTGCAGGAATTTACTGTATAACTCTGTAAAAACCGGTTAAAGTCATGTTCTATATGGGCTGCCTTCTTGGAGGTAAATTTGTATTTTACAGTACAACCCCGCTAATCTGTCACCTACGGGACCAGGGCCATGGTCAGAAGAATGTAAAGGACGAATTATCCGGGGATGATTTTTTCCTTGACTTTGGGATTTGCCTAGGATATAGCCGTGATCACAGAAGGCGATGATAATGTTCCTGTCACTGCGAGAGACATTTAAAATTCGACACAGTAGCAGGAGATGATTTTGTATCCGTTACCACAGGACACCCGTTTAAGGGGTTTGACACAATGGCAGATAACAATGATAATGGTTTTTGTGATCACGGCAGATAATGATGATAATGTTCTTGTGGTGTTAAATATTTTTCTGCAATAATAGCGGATGACGATGATAATGTTCAGTGACCGTGGTAGACGGTCGGAGACAATGGTGTTATTTCTGTGACCCCAGGAGTTCTACTAGATTTGGTCGCGGGGGATGATGATAAAGTTTCTGTGATTACGGGAGACAATGATATTTCCATGACCGGAATGGATAAACAAGGTGCAGGAGCGATGAAAATGTTCACACAACCATGGGAATGATCCTAATGGCACGGTCTCATTATGCAAGGAGTCAGACCAGCTGAGGTCGGATTAGCGGGGTTCTAGTTGCTGAGTTGTGCAGTAAACCGCTAGATCTGATCAATAATCAGTCTAAGGCATTGTCTATGTGGCCAAAAGACAGTACCTTAGATTGAGGGTTTGGATCCTATTTTGATCAGCTCTGGTATGTAACTCATGAGGGAGTTTACCTGTCTCTGGAAGATCTTCAACTAAAATTAAAATGTGGAGGTCTCAAGTGGAAGTTGACAGGATGGGGGAGTAGTCATCCATCGTGTTCAAAAGGTTTAAAGCTAGAGGTATAGGTACCTATGTAGAAAACTAAAACTGACATGTCTCTCAGGCTAAGAAAAAGGAAAGATAACTTTTGGTATTGAAGAACCAAACTCCTCTACTCTATTGGCTTAATTTAGACAACTTTGATTCGTTGGACAAAGGGTTTCAGAATTGACGGAATTAGATGCAAAGTGAATTTTAATTTTTGATTACGTAAGCGCCTTAGTCAATTAATCTTTGTACAGTTTTGGTTAACTCAATGTTCACGTCTGATCTATCTGGAAGCCTCCCAAATGGTCGACTGATCCGAATGTCTCTACTTTCACTGAGATGCCCTCTAAGGTGTCATCCTCAACGGGTTGATTTAAGTGGCGAAGTTTCTCCAGCAGCAGTTGCTGTACTTCAATCCTAAAGTTGAGGTTTTCTTCGTTTGGCAACAGCCTCATCTTTGGAACTAGACTCAGCATGAACAGTTTGTCATCGTTCTCTTCCTCCTCTGCTGGTACGTTTATGCACAGTTTCTTCTGCTTGGGTTGCTCTGGTAGGTCGTCGTGGTGTCGTTTTGTCGAGTCGTATGTTTCTAGAACTCCTAACACTGTTTCATCTGCGATTGGGAGTCCTCCCGATCTGTAAGCAAGAAATCAGCAAAAGTTCTTTGATAAAAGAGAACATTTTCTGTGAATGCAAAATTATCTGGTATTGAACCCCTTTAAGCAGACTACCTTATTAACTTTTTCAAACGTTCCTGCTTTTTGTATATTTTGATATATTCTTCTAAAGTATTTCTGAATAAAAGTACAAATGCGGTCATTAAAAAAACAGAATAGGCTGAATTATTGGTTAAAGCACACACAGTACCTCTGCCCCTTAAAAACAAGGGCATGTGTAATTTAGCTGGCTAGTCTCAGAGAATCAACTTTAAGTTCTGCGTATTTCGTCCTTGTCTCTGATGTTATCTGCAGTGAATTTGTCTCCTGCCTAGCTAAAGAATGTGTATACTAATAAAGTGGATTTACATTGTAACAGAGTAACGAGAGTAGTGGGTTGAATTTTTAATTGCTACTTCTTTTCCTCTGGCTCCTAATGCTAGCCAAATTTCTTCTCCTGAGCCGATATGAAGTGGAATTAGGGAAAGAATACTGAAAAGTCTTGTCTGCTAATTGCCTACTTTTCATTCAGAACCTTACTTCCTAAAGAAACCCACAGGTCTTTGCATCAATCAATCAAACTGCCCGCCACTTCATAAATAATCAGTCAGAACATTAGGCAGGAACAGGTTCTTAATCACTGATAAAATAATAGTAGCAACAGTTAACATGCAGCAACTTGCACAGTGGGATAAAAACTGGTTTGGCTCTTATTTGGGTGGATACTACTCCTAGAAATATAAGTCGGGATAGGTCTAAATACTAAACAAAATAAATAACATAAGTCTACTTTAGGTCAAAAATTCAAAACTACTGAGTTAAATTCTCAACCAGAGGGAATATTTCTTGTTCTTAGGCAAAAAGAAACGCTTACAGTGATTTTTATGTGAGACTTACCCTCTAGTTTTGAGGAAAGGAAGTAAGAACATGAGTGGCTTGAAGAGTGGCCATTGCGGCGGCCATATCGACCCATCCTCAGAGGGTCTCATTCGACGAATCTCTCGGACAAAGTTGCTGCGAAGAGTTGCCCATTTTGTTTTGCAGTGAATGTCTGAAAAATTATGAAAATATTAACAAGACCCACAGTAAAAAAAGTTTTGCAGGACAAAACTTATTAAAAGATTTACTTGAGTTTTCTCTTTGGGCAAGATCGACAAATGGACCCTGATAGCAAATAATAAGGAAAAGTCTATTGGCATATTTAGAGATACTGTATTATGTTGTGTGACTTATGCTGGATTATCTTGATTTGGTTAATGTCCCAATTCTAAGCCGAACATAATTAAAAATCAATTTTGTTCTGCTATTTTTTTTACTTATTAAAAAAAAGTATTGGTAAACGCCAGCATAGGCCTATCTGTTTGATGGTTTGAAACTGGACCCAGCTTTAATTGAGCTTTCGATACCTGGGGCCCATTTCATAATAAACTACAAGTTACAACTTGTAACTTGTAATTTCCATAAGATTTGCATTGGGCGATCAGCTGATTTACTAATAATATTAGTTTGTACTTTATTATGAAATGGGCCCCTGGTCGCTAACAAAAAGCATCTCCCCCATTCTTTCACTCATCCTGAGAGAAAAATCAGTAGTTTGTGATTCAAAAGACTGAAACTACAGCTGGACACATACCTCTACACTCTGCTTGCATTCAGCAAAAAATAAGCACTTTTTATGTATTTATAATGAATCGAATGAATCATTCTTATGAACTAATTACAATTAAAGTGATATCCAAGTTAAATTATGCAGCATTATGTGTTTCCCCTTTTGTATGGGGTTTTCGTCTTCCAAAGTTAACAAGTAGAACACAATCGACTACAACGAACATTTTCATATATGTTTACCTTTGGTGTCGAGCTCCGCGGCTATCTGCGACCACAGCCTGGTCGTGACGTCACGGTTGCAGTGTGCCGGATGCGAGTGGTCGTACAGCGCCGGTTGTTGTTTGACTAGCGCGATCAGCTGTTCGTAGTTGACTTGCGACATGATAGGCGGCGCCACCTTGCACCTTGTGGTTAACCGTGGTCACGACAGGTAGCGCGCGCGTTGCTTTTACCGATTTTCCACCACTGCGATAGCGGTAGCGGCCACTGAACCCGGTGTTTTATCACATAACTATGTTACACATGTAAATTATTAAACGAAACACCACTCGGGAGATTTTTACCGTATAAATCGTGGATGTAGACTTAACCTATGTCCTATACGGTTCGCGCTCTGCCGCCGACAGTAACTGACTGACTGCCGGATTGATCGAATGAATGTGCGGTTGAGTTGGGCTTGCCGCGCAGACGCGAGCTACGACCATCAATCATTCGATAGCTAAGTGATATCGGTTGATTGATTATTGGTCGGATTAGGAGTTTGAACAAAATATAATATTTAAAAAATGGGTTGTATAAGGAGGTCTGTTGCGATGTTAATTTCTTAAAAGCCCATCGTATATATATCGTATGAAATGATAATTGTGTTGCTAATGGCAGGTTTATTATTATTAGGTATAGGTTGGGGGTTTTAACCATTGATACATCAGCTTATGCAACAGTACTGTTGCTATGTTGATTTTATACATGTTTTTCTAATGATGAATAATTCAAAACAATAATTACTTTTACGCCACACTACATTATTTTGACGAACTTCCCACGCAAGGATTTAGTCCAGAAAACAGCTGTTTGCCGCCAGCTTATTCAAATGGGGTTTCATTGCGTACTACTGTACTGCAATGAGTTTTACCGGACACCAATCAGCTGATTATACTGTATTTAGGTGGCAATGAGTGGTTATAAACAAAAACGTAACCCCTAAGAGAGGTTATGACTAGTGATTTTTAGTCCTTTAGTTGGTGGAAATATATAAGGATTTGTACGGATTTAGTAGTATGGCGTAAACTATCGTACGTAACTCGTCCGAAATGTGTGTACCGGACTCGTATGGTAATCCCGTACTTGACTGCGTCTCGCACGGGAACGACCACACTCGTCCGGTAAACACTTATTTTCAGGACTAGTAACGTAATATACTATTTTCTAGGAGAATAAAAGATCAACAATAAAACTTTCCATTACAATACCAGCCGATAGGGGATTCTGTCGCTTGAATATTGTAGCTCAACTTCATACCAGCTGATATTACCAATCAGTCGATAGTTACTTATCCTAATGATAAACGCTAACGCGCTAACGCTAACGCTTATCCTAATGATTGGACGATTCTCTTCATAGAATGGTTTACCAACGATGTATCAGGTGACACGACAAGCATGTTATTGAAAAAAAAATATATATATATAACAGATGACACAACGATTTTGTTGCTATGATCAAGTTAATGTCAAAAGCCGGAACGTATAAGATTTTAAATAAGAAATGAACAGTAATAATCGACATATTGATAAAAAAATGTATTAAAGAAATCGTTTGCTCAGTTAAAAGCCTAAAATGTTTGAACTTATCTTCCCGATGGATACTAAAACCTATTCCTTTGTAATGTCTACATTAAGCTCAATAAACTTTATCACATAGTAATTAAGTTAATTTACTGTCTGTCAAAGCAGTAATTTTGTAGCCGATATTCTTTATTTGTACCTTAGGGCCTTTAGATTTTCTGAATTTCATAACTGAATTACCCGTACAAAACTGACACTACGATATATAAAACGGCTGTTTATGGCATTGGATGGCGGAGAGCGTAATTTAATTATTGACCAAGAAACTGAAAGAATAAATGATTATGTAGGTTTTGGAGGGATTTTTTTATTAGATGAATCAGAAATAAAGCTCATTCGCAGCTAGGAGTTAGTTAAATAGAGTTAGTTAAATATTGAGTACGATTTTCAAAGCCATGTTTGGTAGCTTGAACAATTATTTCACTGAATAACTAAATGTTCTAAATTATTCGAATAAAGAATACAGTTCTTCCAGGCTATAAAGTCATCCACTTTATTTAGATGTCACAACGTTTCTCGATCCTACCTTGATGTTTCTTGATGCCACCTTCCCCTATACCATTCCAATGGTTGTGTTGAGTGGTTGTGGTTGACATTTAAAGTACAAACTTTGTAATCAATGTAATTAGCAACATAATGGCTAAATTAAAACGCAACACGTGTTCGCTAAGTTCCGTTCTACAGCGGACACGTTATATTTCCCGACGTAATCAATATACCCCGACCCCCACGCAGGCTCTTCTTTCACTATAGTCTACATAGCGTTCAGCCAGTTTGCCCGAATGCTTGTCTGCATATGTTTTGTTATTAATATTAGATTTCAACATAATAAAAAAATATTCTCAGCTAACATCGTCGATGAAGTCGGTCAAACCTTAGACTCTATGGTCAAACCTAGAGGAGTATTTTAGGCCAATTTAATCGCTGTCTGAACCTGATAAATTGATAGTTCGAAACTGAACCCAGCTGTTCCTGATCATTGGGATTTGAATAAATGGCCCTGAATAATGAAACAGCTGATCTTAGAAGTCAGTTAAAGCTACACAAGGCATCTCACTTCGTTCTGGTTCTACACTCATTTCTCACTCAAATTATTTCGGTTAAAATACGTATCGACAACGTCCCCATCTAAATTGGTGGTAATACTAATAATTGCATTAACGTGGATGTTTTAAACAAAATAAGCGTGTGGTTAAAAATAATTCTACTGAACCCGAACCCAGCATGTAATAATTCGAATTATTTCACTCCAATGTATACTGTTAGATATTGTTCAATGAAATTGCGACCATACATAGTAGGTATTTTAAGCCAAGTATGAATGAAGATGAGTGTAGGATGAGTGGCGCGATCTTGTAGTCTTGTTAGTCACTAAGGCCGACATTCCTTAGACACAGCTGTTAATTAATAGCCCATACAGCTAATGGCAACTGAGGGACCTACAGTTTATAGTGGAATCCGAACCACATTTTCCCTTGGTATATACGAATTGGTCTAATTATCAGGATAGCACTGCGAATAGTCATAGTACTCACTCGTGCGGACGTTAATCCACAATAGCGAGTATCGCATCCACAGTGCATGCCTATAAATATCCACAATTCGTGACCTCCTAGTAGCTGGATTACAGGACGACGCCACCCGTACCAGTCGTATCTTTTTCGGACGGGTTTTTCCATGGTTTTATTTCAGTAGTAAAAAGACCTTTTTGCAATTCCTATCGGATTTCTATACTGCAGTGCAAAACAATACATTAATCTTGTTTTCATTTTGTCCTTTTCCTCCGGATTACTTCGCCATTGATCTGCAAGTGGTTTAAGTTGTCATTACTGCCCAATTAGTCCACGAGACATATATAGACAAATTTATGTAATGACTAAATTATTTACGTAATCCCTCCACAGCTCAATAAAATATGTCAATTCCTGAATTGAGTTGAGATAGGATTACGTAAGTAATTTAGTCTTATTATGTCCAACAGCTCAGGGGGATACCCGGATACACACGTGGATTTTAAATTTATGTAATTAGTAATTTTCTAGTTATGGCTTTCATCCATCGCAAACTCGTACTACATACTAAAGTATAACTAAATACTTTGACCGTGAAACGTGATCAACATTCTATCAACATCATGCTACAGTATTTCAATCGTGCTTTTGTCCTTACAGTAAGTTATATTATAACATAGATTATATGGTTATAATTTTATAAAATCTGACTTGATTCAGACTTCCTTCTTAACATTGATGAGAACCTTGATAGCAGATGTGGATAAGTAGGACAGGATGAGAAGATTACTGTACTTTGAATTTGACTGCTCGTGTACAGTACTAGTACTTCAATTGCAACTCGTAGTTTTTTTTTGAATTTTTCAATTACAGTACTGAGGGATCAGCCTGAGGTGTAATTTATGAATAGTTATGAATTTATGACATGTTCCCCACTAACAAAAAACATAAGTCCCTAAAAAGCTCAAAATGTAAAACAACTTAAATTTAAACAAACTAAGAATAAAGTTACTTATTTGTCAACGTGGATATGCCTGTACACCATAAATTTGTCTAAAAGTCTCTCTGTTTGCGGTTTTAGGGTTCCATTTCCCAGTTGTCGAAGCCAATATTGACAGTTGACACGAACATCTTTGGTTTGGCTTTTGGTTTAAAAAAAGTCTCAATTATAGATAACGTTGTCCCTGGTTTTAATATAGAGTGCATTATAGAGTTAACTGGCTAAGAGGTAAACCAACTGCGTGTATTGAATACTTTTTTTTCTAGGACACTAGGCTTGAGCCTGGGATTGTTTTTCACATTGAATACTTTGATACGCATTGAATTGTTCGTTGAATACTGGCATTGACTATTGGTTTAGTGCGATCAACTATATTAAAGTAAACAAAGATCAGCTGTGTATGCTTCCAGTGCTAGTCTTATTGAGAACATTTTAAAGTTCCTAAAATTTTGGGAATTCCACTATTTTTCCCATCGTCACGGGATAGAGACCTTAATTGTGAGTCCTCTCCCGTCGTTCTCGACATCCCACTCGCCCACAAGTTTGACGCAAAGAATCGCCTTACGTAATTAATATTTAGATAAAGTACTTGAGCATTAATGACGAATTTCAACTTGCTCCTTATTAGCCGATTCGCAAGAATAAACCGGATGAATTCTAAGTCGGTATTCAATTGGAAACTCTTTGTGTAATTTGTATTAACATCTTGAGTTATAACCCAATCTTTAAACACTATTTGATGATTAATAGAAACTCGTCAATCAGCAAGAATAAACCGAATTAATTCTATACCTTCCGCAAAGATTCTTGGCGGCTGAGGGATGAGGACGGTTATAAGTGTGTATTCAATAGGAAACTCACTGTAATTTTAGTAACATTTTGAGTTGTAACCCGTTAAAAACTACAATCATATGATTCATAAATTCAGAAAAACAAATTCAAGACATTGAACTGTGAAAATACCTCTACCAGCTGTACAAACTGTACATATTGTATTGTTGCATTATGTTTTCGCTCTGTCATGCTCATGCACGTTTGTTTCCCTACTCTCTGTTTGTATTTATTTGTACTGATTCTTCCTCGTATAATCATACACTGGCCTCTGTCATTAACTGTTCACTGTTCAAATATCGATGGGTGAAAAACCTAACTACCACCATTGGTATCTCAGAAGTATTAGATTTAGAGAAAGCATTAGTTGGCGAGCTTAATCTATTTTCTTACGACAGTAAA